TGGTATTTTTTTTCTTTTAAGTGTGCGTTTGTGTGTTTTGTTTTTGTTTTGGTTTGTTTGTTTTACTTTTGCGTGCTTTATTTTTCTTTGTAAATTGTGGAGTAGTATCAAAAGGGGGTTTCTGACACATTTTGAAAATTGCCTTGATTTTCACGTAAAATATAAACTTTCTCCTGAAAACAACTCATTCTAAAAATGTGTCAAAACAACCATGTGTTCAAGTTAATTTTGAAAAAATAACTTTATCTTTAATCTCATTTAAAAAAGTATAACGATGATTTCAGGGCAAAATGATCGACGCATTTTCTCGAAATTGGCTTCAAAATCAAAGCAAGTTTTTCAAATCAAACTGACGAGTTTTGAGATTGCATTGAATTTCAAGACAAAAGTGCGTTAGATTCACCAGGAAAAACTAATAAGGACACTATCTCAGAAATAATCCCAAAAACTCATGGAGGCTTATGAAGCATTTGGAACAATTTTCAAATCATCGAAATCCTTCAGGAGGTAACTCAGCTTTAGATGGAACAATCTGAAGCTCTTCTCTGACGAACCCTCGCTTTGGTCTGTCTTTCAGATAGCAGAGAACAGGCTCCCTTTCATTCACAAATACTTTTTCGATATTGAAGTCCTTCAGAGACCATATTGGAACTGTTGCTCGTCTTTGACTACCTTCTAACTCACAAGCGGCATAGAGATATCTCACGTTTTTTGAAGATTCGAGTCTCTTTTCTTTAAAGCCAACAGGTCTTGAATAAGAAGTTGGACTATTTGCGTCAACCGCCTTTTCTTTGATTGCGTCAATTAGTTTCTTTCCAGTCAATCTTGTCTCCTCACTATTCAGTGCTGAAACAACTTCTGGAAGCCTTTTCACCCATTCTGTTGATCTGTTTTTGTCTTCGAAGTTTATCTCTTGGCCGTATTGGAAAGTAAAAAGACGCTCACTCAGAGTTAGGTTAAATCCCTCAACTATCCCTTGATCTCTATGAGCGTTTACATTTCCTCTTCTTATTCTCACATCATGCTTTGCCTTCTCTTTCGTCGTTTCATCCATAAATTCACGTCCAGGATCAACCTGAAGAACTTTACGCCATCTTCATGGTAATCTCTTGTAGTTTTTCTGGAAAGCCTTCTGAGACCTCAGAAGAATCTTTTGAGGTGAGAGGTTCAGCAGCCTTGAATCTGCTTGCAACATCGACCACTGTCGATGCATATTTATAGACCTTTCTTCCTCTAGGAAGTCTGTTATGAAGAAGGAAAATAAGATCAGCTCGATGAACTGTGTTTGGAGATTCAACGTGAATAATTGCTCGTGGGATATGCTTTGGGGCAGGCAAATAAATCTGCCAGGTAGCCTGCTTCATCAGCCAAAGCCTTGCAACATCTTCAGGAACTCCATCTTCCTTTACCAACTTCTTCACTGCATCTAGTCCCTTCCAAAATCCTTTCGGGCTATAGTAAACTCTTGAAAGCTTTCCTTCCATGTTCTATTGCGATCACAAAAAACGACTTGCTGCCAATCTCAAACCCAAAGCCATTCCTCCGACGTAGATCTTTTCACCTTCTTTGTGTTGTGTGCTCGGCTTGTAGAAGTTAGAAAAACGTGGCTCTTCTACATCAAGCTCTTCATTATGTGCCTTGTTTTAAGGCTTTAAAGCATAATCTGTATCAACAAAATTTTGTTGTGCCCCTTTTTTGATTCGGTCGTTTTCTGCAATCCAATCGAGGAGCTTTGTTCGACTGTCAGTGTCTACGAAAAGAAGCTTTGCACAATCTCCACATTTCTCTTTGATGTAGTTATAGTGGAAGTCATACATCAAAGTCTTGCTGATATCAAGAAGAGCCATTGCACAGTAAACTGGCTTGTCAAACCTTATTGATATTCTCCCCATATGGATTGCAATGAGATTTTCGTCAAATAGTATGCAGTGCTGAAAGTTTGGTTTTGCTGAAAGCTTGTTTGCTTTCTTTCGATTGTTGACTAACCTCACATCAACTCGATTTCTGATGTTTTCAATTGTTTTCCAAAGACAGAGTTATTCATCAACTTCAAGAAATCCTTTTCAAATTCGTTCTTTTCACTCGCGCGCAGATTTGTGTTGAGCTCGATATAACTTCTCAGGCAGGGTTCTTCTTCAAATTTGATTCTTCTGTGAATAATTTTCAACCTTAAACCCTACGCAAGATTTGAAATTCTTGTGCTCGATATAACTTTTCAGCCAGGGTTCTCCTCCAAATTTGATTCCTCTGTGAATATTTTTCAACCATAAACCCAACGCAAGGTTTGAGATTCTTGTGATGAATGATATATCTCTCCTTATCATTCATATTTGGCACAAGCTTCTGGACTTGGGCTCTTCCCGCGCTGTGCGCATTGTTGATCATAACCCTCTCTGGAGCAAGAGGATAATCGTTGTGAAGATCATGAAGCTCTTTTGGATATTTACGATCAACCTCAAGAATGCACGGAATGTTTCTCCACTTTTTAATCTCTGCTTGTCTCATCCATTTGAAACATCTGACAGGAAGAGGCATGCACATTGCGCATCCATAAAGATTGTTCGCATCAAGATAAGTCGGATATTTTGATGGCTTTTCTCTGTCAAACTTTTCTCCCATGTATTTGTTGTTTGCCCTTGCATAGCGATTTGAGATCATAGAGATTCCTTTACGAATTCCTTTCACAAACATCACAAGGATGTCTGGATCACTCAGTAGCTCAAGCTCAACGTTTGTCACATTCAATGCTGCAACCTAAGCCAATCCAGGAGCAGTGTAATACCAAGCAGGGTCCAGACTGTAATTCTCAAGACAGACGTTTCTGAACTCCACAAACACAAGATCATGATAATCATCAGAGTCATTCAGCTTTGAATAAAAACTCTCTCTTTTTGGTGGAATTTCTGTTTCTCTGAACTTTTCAATGCTGCTCATGTAATTATATGGATACGCACCCTTTCTTAAAACCTACTCGATTTTGTCCTTGAAAACCTCTCTAGTCTTCTTCAGCTTCCAAATGATCGCAATTGACAAGGTAGTTATTAAATGATGATAACCTTTTGTCGAGCTTTGACTCCTTCGTTTTTCAATCCATCTTCAAGAACTTTACCAAGGCTTTTCAATGAATAGTTTCTCTCAGATGAATTGTCCTGAGCATCAAGTAAAGAGATTTCTCCAGAGTGACCCAGGTTCTGCCATGAGTTGTAAAGAGAACAGCTCACTAGCCTAATATGTTCACTTCCATTCACGAGAGGCTCTTTGAAGACAACTGTGAAATCACTTGAATCTGAAATAATTGTCAACGCAACCATTTTGATTATAAAAACAAATCAAATGTCGGCTTGGTTAAGAACAGATGAAGCGAAAAGAATTGTTGCGAAAAAAAAGAACAAAAGCCTTGAATGATTTCAAAGAACAATATCCGAACGCAGACCTGAGCAAGTTCAATGTGCAAGTAACATTCTTCAGCGAAAAACAGGGAAAAGCTGAAGTTTACTTGAATTGCTCCAATGGTGTTCAAACGAGCGTCTCAGGATCAATCAGAAAAGACTGGGAGGATGAAATGAAGCGTGCAGTTAGAATAGCAGGGTTTCCCATCGAGGTTACTCTGAATACTTCTGCAGTTAAGGAGGTTCCAGCAGTTCCAATTCACAAGAGTGCGATAAGTAGCTTGAATGAAGAGACTAACATATTTATTACCCAAACTAATATTTTAAAGCAAAGTTCAGAGAAATATTCACAAGAATGAAAATTCAACACAGCTCAGGCGCAAAATCAAAGAGATGGCTTGCAGGGCCGAATATAAGCTACTGGTTTCAACAACTCAACTTTACAGTGTGGTGCGCTATTTCAGGCTGTGGAATCTCTCGTGAACTGCTTGACATGGTTCCAGATCAGATCAAGTCGTTTCTGCGGTTTCAAATTTATATCGCAGTCAGAAGGATTCTTTTAGAGATGGGTGGAATACAGAGTGAATCGGCTCTCCCGGTGACCCAACGCTCAGTCAGATAAATAATAACTACGACAAGTTATCATTCAAAAGATTGTGTTCAGAATTTGGAATTTCTCCAAGCACAGACTTCCGCTTCACAGAAGAAGATTGTCATGGTCTCGGATCTCTTTTCATTTACGTCACTAATACTGGACCTATGGCAACTGGCATCCCATATCCCGGTGATAACAGGTTCAGAGATGAAGGCGGAAAAGCCATAAAAGGCAATTTGATTTATTTCATAGGGAATGACAACATTAAAGTTGAAAAACAGTTCGACTTTTTCATGACAGATAAGTCAGAAGGCCTGACGCAAGCCGGGCTGGGGAGACTAATTCAGTCGGTTGAGGCATTTGTTTATTTAATTCTCGGTTCACAAGTAAATGTCAGATCATCCATCTTTGGTTCATCAGGAAGCGCAAACNNNNTCGATGCGATCAGAATGACAGACATCTCGAAGAGCGTACAGAGATTTTAGCTTCCGATTGATGAGGCGAAAGTCAGACTTGATCTTGCAATCTCACCAGGTAATTGGCTTATGCCCTCAAATATTCTTCTGAACACACAGAGCGCAGTCGGGTATAATACCAAGCTGAAGAAGGCAAGTTTCGACATGAAATTTGGAGTCAATAAATCAGTTAATTTGGATATGAAATCAGTCGGAGTTAAGCATATGAGCGGGGGCTCATCAAAAATGAAGAGACCTACGTCTCACCTATCAAGTCAAAAGACCGCGAGCGAAGCTCAGAAGACAGATCCAAATGAAACTCTTGGGAAGACGAAAGCGTCGAGAGACAGCGAGACAAATAATGATTAAATTAAAGACGGATTGATCTCAGTCGAACTGGTCTCAGCCCTCCTGATTCATCGCCTTTTGTTTTGAAATTGCTCAACCATAAATATTGCAACACCCGTTATTAGAGTCCAGGCATTTTCTCTAAGAAAGTTGATCACTGACCCAGCAACTCTAAAACCGAAGCTGACTATTGCACCAACGAGACCTGGTAAAATTTCAGCGATATTTTTTTCCAAGAGTGTTAAGCCCGTTCCCCACACCTAAGGCCTATTTTTAGTGTGCTCACAGTCACTCCAATCGTTGTTCCAACTGCCAAAACAACAGCTGAGACTTTAAAACCATACTTCTTGAAGATGTTTATCAATCTCACACGGAGTGATAATCTTTCTTTAAGTCTCTCTCTTTCATTCTCAAGGGCATCAATCCGCTCTTGATTTTCAGTTATCCTTTCTCTTGCTTGTTCTCGTATGGTGGCGTCTTCATTTTCATCACCAGAAATCTCTTTATCATCTCGAATGGACTGTTCCTTCTCTTCAATTTCTTTATCCTTCTGAGCTATCAGAACTTCTCGCTGTGGACCAAGTGAAGTTTTAATTTGTATTGGGAGACTAGGACTCAACCTCTGCCTATTTGGGCCCCTTTCTTCGGTAGACAAAGGATCTACCCTCTTGCCTTGACCAAACATCTTCACCTGCCACCTTCCTTTCTTACTGTAAGAAACCTCAAGTTCTGAAGCTTTTGCCTCCGGAAAAATACTAGTAAGTGATTCCAATGCATTCTCATTTAAAGTTCAAACTTGCGAACCAAAAATATCACCTTCAATGAAAGATGTCTCAGCCGTTTTTGAACACTATTCTTGCCCCCTTTTCATTGTCGTCATTGGAATTTCTTCGCCTGAGGGTCCCGGAGTTGAATTCTCATCTGGTTGAAAAGGTGTTGTTGCATCTCCATCATCTTCATCGTCG